CCCTGCTCCGCTACCAGCGGATTAACTATTTTTAAGTTTTTTTTATAATGTATTTTTAGTTTTTTTTTTATAATTTACATTGTAAAAAAAATATTAAAAATAAGAAATAAAATGAATAAAGAGATAATAATAATAATAAATCTTTAAGACAGTTTCACACATCGCCAGCTAGCCCCAAAGTAAGCAACTTAATGCTTGTGTTATGGGTGCTAGCTTAACGGATATACTACTTATATATTTTTTTTTTAAATACATACATATTATACATAGTAACACCCAGACCCGTCACAGAAATAAAAATTCATCATTTCAAGTTCTGCCCGGCCGGGAATCGAACCCGGGACCTCTCGGCATAGAAGCACATTCTGAACCACTACACCAAACGGCCGATCAATGTTCATTGAATTACGATCAGACAGTCCTTAAAAAAGAAGCAAGCATATCAGACTGCTAGAGTCATAATTATTATTGCAATATAAGTTTACTGCCATAATTTTAGTCACCACTGCGGAAACACGACCCTCTATAATGTATAACCACAGATGCAAAAGAAGAATTCGAATTACTTACTCCACCCACGCTGGTCACACTTTTGCCCATTAGTCTCTTTTCACAACATATATGGGAAGAGTGGGAGCGTTCTTATTTTATTCTAATGGAACCATACTTCCAGGCTTACGCTAAAAATAGGCTTAATTCTATTCAACTAATGTATATTAATTATTCTTTCTGCAGGGGCCATGGTGACTGCAAAAGCCCGGTGTCCTCGATCGAAAGCTGCACTGAGGACTCGAGGCTACTCCTCAACTACCAAGCCTGCCCTGACGTGCACGGGTCTGAGAGCACCGGTAAGTTTGCGACTTCAACTCAACAGTTAACTACGTAAACATTAGTTATTGACGCGCGTAATAAATATAGTTATCTATAATTACCTACCTACCAAAGCATCTATTCTAAATGAACAAAGCATCATTTCAATATCAAATGCGATAAGTACCTACCTAACAAGTTTGCAAGTGTAGGCTTGGTTATAGATGATGATATTCTTCTTAATCATCATCTTAAACAAACAAGAAAATTCAACTTGCTCACAAGATATCAGTCTTCAAAAACTAATAGAGCTCTCACACACACGTACATTATTTTCTATATTACCAAAAAAATACCACACAGGTTGAATGTCTCGTAGCCAAACAAAGGACTTAAAATCCGATGCATTTGCCAATTATATAGCATCTTGGGCATGTAGAGTCGCGACTAAATCAATACACATTAACTCCTCCGAGAACACTCTTTATTTTCTCCTTTCGTCTACGCCGTTTTTATTATCGGTTAGTAATTTAAGGCCAGAGTCACTTGTGGAATCTGTCTACCCGTTACAAATCAGCAGGTTGGGCTTAGACAATCAATATAGCTAACGATTCTATTTTTGGAAGCGCGAAGTTAATTCCGAATGCAGTATAGGACACGTCTAGACGTTTGGTATTTGCAGGATTAGTTATAGTTAATTACTCGAAATAATTCACCGCAGTTTATTTCGGAAGTGAAAATACTCGATTCTACTAAGTGTAAGCAATTATTTACGTTACCAAACTAGACGTGATAAAAGTGTACCTAATGCTGAACGACATCTCGTACCCATTATTATATTTTTATTTTAAACCAAACAATAGATTTTTTGGTTTACGTACGGCAAAAACTTCTTTTAGTACTTTCCAAAAGAAGAGTCGCTTTTTTATATTATAATTTTGTGTCCTCCTTCTCTAAGTTCTCTATTCTTGTCTGACGGAGACAAAGGATTAAGTAATTTTTATATTATGCTTATATTGCCTTCATTCTGGATCTAATTGTATTTATAAAAACAACCATTGCATATCCCCTAAATAATCAAAGAAACTCGCAATGAAAATTCGTAGCAACCTTTAAAAAAATCATCGAATTTTTCAGTGGAGGAACTGGAGTGCCTAGCAACGTGGAAGGAGGGCAGCCTGAGGTTCCTGGTGGGCAAACTGCACCACAACCACGCGACCAGCAACGAGGACCGCTACCGCTGCTTCGTCTACGAGAAGACAAATGGTATTGGTAAGACTAATATACAGAATTTAGATGGATACCAGGTCACTATTTGCGAGCAAAGCATCGCCTTTTGTTAATTTGAAATACCTGGTTAAAAAAATGTAATTTTTACCCTTACTGGTTACAGGTACTCCATAGTTCTTAAATACTGCTTTAGTTTCACTATTATCTTGGTAGATTCATAAAATGAGTCTAATGACTGACTAGACCTTCACTGGTTTGGTTTTTAACGGAGATCACACTGTAGATTCTGACTGCAGAAATTGCAGCAACAGGAACGAAACGTTTCAGATATTATTATTGTTGTGGTTTATATTTATCAATTTAAATATTCATGTATTGATTTATGATTGTCCCTTTTTATAAAACCAGATCATTTTCAGTTTTGTGAAATAATCTCGTATACGAAAATCTTTGCGCATTAGGTGTGGTACGTGCATTAACAACTAACTAGTAGTAAATGTCTGAAGCATTTCAGATGTAAATTGACGATGTATTCTTCATTTCCAGCATCAGGAAGTGCAGCAAAAGATGGCCCCAGCGCTCCTGGTGGCGTGGAGTACAGAGTGGCCCAGTCTGGTGACGCGACCTGCAACGGCCTGTTCAGCGCCACTGAAGGCTCCAGGACTATGGCTTTGAAGCGAGGTACCAATTATAATAATAACTAACACCTACCAGAAAATTCCATTGGGTACCTAAGTTGATTCTTAGAAATACCTATAGCTACCAGAAAATTCCATAGGGTTGACCTACTTAAAAAAATAGTAATTGCATACTTGATACCACTAATCAATGGATATGTCGCAGCTTAATTGACCGATTAATTAACAGCCTAGCCATTTTACTAGCCGCCGCCATTCAAGTGGCCTAATAATAACTATAGCCTGAATATTCAGCCGTAGTGTCTAATTTAATGAACTAGACGACTCATGCTTAGATCGTGTACCTAAACAACAGAAAAACAATGAGGCAAGACAATGCAACTAGTCTATAAATTCTGTATTAATAACAACAGTATGACTTCGCTTTTTAACACCTGAAATACGAGCACAAAAACAGCAATGCAATCTTGCTCTGTCTAATATTCTTACTTGTTTATAGTAAATTTCCCCCTCGTATTTTATCCACAGATATCAAGCATGACACATGAATAACCAAAATTCTATTTCCAGTATCAGTTCGCTTCAACTGCCAGTTCCCGTCCTGGATGACGTTCTCGCACACCTGGCACACGCTAGACTTCAGCAGCAACTACACGTTCTACCAGCGGAATGCAACGCTACGGATCAGCAACCAGACTGGCGCTGATATCAAAGTCTACTGCGTGAATGTGAAGGCCAGCTCGCCCAGTGGAAACTCGGTGGCTTTGGTCGCTCATTGGCAGCACCACTGGTAAGTTTGACTCCATAAATCCAGCCAATAGCAGATTCTTTAGTAGCAACTACACGTTCTACCAACAGAACGCGACGTTACGGATCAGCAACCAGACCGGTGCTGATATTAAAGTCTACTGCGTGAATGTGAAAGCCAGCTCGCCCAGTGGAAACTCGGTGGCTCTGGTCGCGCACTGGCAGCACCACTGGTAAGTTCCAGTTTCACCAGCCAATAGCATTTCAGCAGCAACTACACGTTCTACCAGCGGAATGCAACGCTACGGATTAGCAACCAGACCGGTGCTGACATTAAAGTTTACTGTGTAAACGTGAAAGCCAGCTCGCCCAGTGGAAACTCGGTGGCTTTGGTCGCACATTGGCAGCACCACTGGTAAGTTGGACTCCACCATTTCAGCCTCGTCACGTTCTACCAGCGGAACGCGACGCTACGGATCAGCAACCAGACTGGCGCTGATATTAAAGTCTACTGTGTGAATGTGAAGGCCAGCTCGCCCAGTGGAAACTCGGTGGCTTTGGTCACGCACTGGCAGCACCACTGGTAAGTTGGACTCCACCATTTCAGCCACGTCAAGTTCTACCAGCGGAACGCGACGCTACGGATCAGAAACCAGACCGGCGCTAACATCAAGGTGTACTGCGTGAATGTGAAGGCCAGTTCTCCCAGTGGAAACTCGGTGGCTTTGGTCGCACATTGGCAGCACCACTGGTAAGTTGGACTCCACCATTTCAGCCACGTCACGTTCTACCAGCGGAATGCAACGCTACGGATTAGCAACCAGACCGGTGCTGACATTAAAGTTTACTGTGTAAACGTGAAAGCCAGCTCGCCCAGTGGAAACTCGGTGGCTTTGGTCGCACATTGGCAGCACCACTGGTAAGTTGGACTCCACCATTTCAGCCTCGTCACGTTCTACCAGCGGAACGCGACGCTACGGATCAGCAACCAGACTGGCGCTGATATTAAAGTCTACTGTGTGAATGTGAAGGCCAGCTCGCCCAGTGGAAACTCTGTGGCTTTGGTCGCGCACTGGCAGCACCACTGGTAAGTTAGACTCCACCATTTCAGCCACGTCAAGTTCTACCAGCGGAACGCGACGCTACGGATCAGCAACCAGACTGGCGCTGACATCAAAGTTTACTGCGTGAATGTGAAAGCCAGCTCGTCCCGTGGAAACTCGGTGGCTTTGGTCGCGCATTGGTAGCACCACTGGTAATTTCTAGTTTCATCAGTCAATGGTAGACTTCAGCAGAACGCAACGCTAACTACGGATCAGCAACCAGACCGGTGCTGATATTAAAGTCTACTTGTGTGAATGTGAAGGCCAGCTCGCCCAGTGGAAACTCCATGGCTGCACCACTGGTAAGTTCCAGTTTCACCAGCCAATAGCATTTCAGCAGCAACTACACGTTCTACTAGCGGAACGTGACGCTACGGATCAGCAACCAGACTGGCGCTGACATTAAAGTTGTGAAAGCCAGCTCGCCTAGTGGAAACTCCGTGGATCTGGTCGCGCACTGGCAGCACCACTGGTAAGTTTGACTCCATAAATCCAGCCAATAGAAATTCTTTAGCAGCAACTACACGTTCTACCAGCGAAACGCGACGCTACGGATCAGTAACCAGACCGGAGCTGACATTAAAGTTTACTGTGTGAATGTGAAGGCCAGCTCGCCCAGTGGAAACTCGGTGGCTTTGGTCGCGCATTGGCAGCACCACTGGTAAGTTGGACTCCACCATTTCAGCCTCGTCACGTTCTACCAGCGGAATGCAACGCTACGGATTAGCAACCAGACCGGTGCTGATATTAAAGTCTACTGTATGAATGTGAAGGCCAGCTCGCCCAGTGGAAACTCAGTGGCTTTGGTCGCGCATTGGCAGCACCATTGGTAAGTTTGACTCCATCATTCCAGCCCATGACAGTCACTTCTATAGCCAAGTCTCTAAAAGGGTAACGCGTCGCGACCCTCCATTATATTTCATCATTAAGACATCGAGAAGCAGATACTTAGATGGGAACCATCCAAAAATTAATGCACATAAATGTACCTAATACGTAGGTATCTTTATCAGAACGAACAACTTCAGTTAAAACAAACTTAAAGCAGATTTCGAAGTATAACTATTAACAGATTATACAAATTCTGTGAATTATCCTGCTTTCGCCTCCGAGATTTATTTTACCATGTAGTACCCCTGTACGACAAGCCAATCCGCACACAATATTCAGCGCAGTAGTAGTAAAAAACAAAAGAGCGGGCAACCCCACCCCTACCACGCTGTGGGCTCGGTGTCCGAGCGGTCTCATTCCTTTGTGCGCACGCGCAACGACCGCACGCAGTATAAGAAAAATGCTTAAGTGACGTCACCAGGACGTTTTTACCGACAAAAAACGTAATTATTTTAAGTTGTGCAGTGTAGTGACGAGAATTAGACCCAACACAAGGTTGGTTGTAACAACTATTTTGTGCAAGTGCTCGTACATTTTTATTATAAGCGTTGTGACACGACGCGTAACTTTGACCCATTTTTAGCTCCAAGTTAACGCGCGATGTTAACCAGTAGCCATTTTTTTGCTCCGAGGTAATGCGAGATGTTACCCAGTAGCCATTCTTTTGCTCCGAGGTAATGCGAGATGTTACCCAGTAGCCATTTTTTAGTAAATCCGTTTCATTAATGGTCAACACCAAGGATTGACCTATCTTTCGCAGTTATTAAATAATATCTGGGTGTTGCTTAAGATAGTAATTCATGCTTCCAAAATCTTAGAAATTCGCACGAAAATGTAAAATGGCTCTTAAGCAAGTATCATTTGCAAATATGGGCAATAATATCTTTGATTTTGTAGATTTCAATCCAGAATAGTTTAATCTCAGGGCAAATAATAGCAGCTATAGAGTTTGGTTACAATGTTTACAAAAGAAGATTACAAAGATAAAGCAGTACTCATAATAATATTTGTACAGACGACAGCATGGTCAAGGTAACCACTGCAGGTTCTTGTGCAGTTGTAATAAGGGCGAATTTGCAACACAAAATGGGTCACCTGTGTGCTTACCATGAGTTTACGTTAGGTGTGCTCGCTAGCGATTACGTAAAAAAAATGACATTAATTGTATGACATATTGTGCAGCGCCCCCTAGCTTCTTCATAGAGATTTTAGACGTACTCGCTAGCGAGCACACCTAACGTAAACTCATGGTAGGTACACTGATGTGCTCTCGCGTGTACATACTTGCACAAAGAAGCCGTGTTGAACTCTTTGTTTTGAGGCGGCGGCGCGGGCGCGGGCGGTGCGGGCGGCGCGGCCGCGGCCGCCACCACGGCGCCTGCAGCTTGCATGCCTCCTGGAAACAATATTAATAATAGTATAATAATATAAGCCTTTATTACTGGATAATAAGTTATTTTACAACATTAATTAACCATTTTATTTTACAATTTAGCAGCACTCATCTCCAGTTTGTCCTTGGACATAGGCCTCCTCCAATGATCTCCATGCTTATCTGTTTCTAGCCATTTGTGGCCATAATGGCCCTGCTAATTCTAAAGAGATACTGGTCACTAGCAGAGGTAATGAAAAACGGGAACCTAAAGATGTTCCACAAAAGGAAAGTATTTGATGACAAAGCAACAACTTAAAAAGTTAAAAGTATGCCAAAATAGTATGGAGGGAAACAATATTAGTATGTGTCATATCTATATCTTAGAAACTATAAGCCTAGGCACAGACCACCGATTTTCAGTTGGCTGATAGTTATGCCCGATATCAATTTGAATGAAAAATCGGCTGATGCCAAATCAGTGTAATGTAATGCATTTTCACTAAATTATCAGCCGACTAAAATCAGTGTTCTGCGCCTAGGTTAACACCTACAAACTTAACATTTGGCAGGTATGTTCCTGATAGGGTGTAGACATCCGCTAAGAATGGATTTTACAAAACTCCACCTCCAAATGGGTATAACAGGGGTTAACTAACTCGACTCATAAGAAGTTAGTTATATGATTAGTACACATACAACATACATTATCAGGCAGAAACCATTTACTGTGTTGTTGCACTAATTTGAGCTTCTTCAGATTGAAAATATTATAGAACATAAATCTAAATGTTAAGCTCATAAGTTGTCTGAAATGTTACAAAGTTGTGTATAGCAAAGTACTGTGATTATGGTGGTGTGGTATTCAACTAGTACTTGTAATTTTGCATTTACCTGGCTGTTGAACTGCTTGTGGCCCCATACCACCACCAGGGGCACCACCTACTCCTACTCCCATACCCTGAAAACATATGATAATTTGACAATGTCGCTGAATGAAACGATTAGGAAGTAAGTTTTTAGCACAATCTTTTATTTTATTACCTGAGGCCCCATGCCCATATTCCCCATCTGGTTCTGCATGGCTGCACCATATGGCGGAACCATCTGGTTCCCCATGCCAACCATACCTGCTGAATTCGCCATAGGACCACCCATCACACCTGAAATCATTGACAATGTTGAGTTAATAAAACCCGTGTTATTACATCCCATCTAAAGGTAATCAGGACTCGATGAATATGGAAAGCAAGTAGTGTAGACTAGAATATAATTACCTCCAAGCTGGTTAGGCATCCCCGGCATTTGCGCGCCCATGGGGCCACCTCCAAATCCAGTTCGCATAGCGCCAGCATTACCTTGGAAATTACCAGGGAATTGGTGGCCTTGCCCGGCCATGTTAGCGATTTAATTTCACCTCACTGGACTAACTAATTACACGTAAATTAGAGCAGTTTAGCAATTAACAGTTCGACAACAAATTTAAGATACGATTACAAAACAACAATCGCACAGTTCACCAGCGGTACGCATTGACACATTTGACAGTTTTGACACTAATGAGAATGACATATGTCAAAAAACACTAGTGAGTCCAGTAAATCATTCCAATTAAAATATTTATCTAATTATCGAAAATTTGGTGAAAACCAAGACTGAACACTTTTATTATTTCAAAGCGTTTGGCTGCAAACACAAGTAGATACTGATGCTATTGATTTAAACATTTATTTTATAGCAATACATGGCATATTAAGGTAGGTAATATCTACACTTGCGAGCAAAAGTATGGAATCACTTACATGAAGTTGTTTCCACGCGATCTTGTGTACTAACCAATTTGTTAGTAACAAAAAAGTAGTACCATTTTAAAGATTAAACTTTTAACTTTAAATTGATACCAAATTCATTTAAATCACACCAGTATTAAAGCGTGCTTGTCGGTGACCTGCCGTCAGTTTCCAGCTTGTGACAGGCCTTTTTGGTGTCAAATTTTATTTCTCATATCTTAGACGAACTGTCCACTCGCTAACAGCTATCCTACGAACATTTCTGAGCTCTTGCTGGACGTCAATACCAGTCAAATGACGATTTCATAGAGAGGTTGACATGAAAAAACGGTCATCCCTCTGCGATGTGCACCGGTGCTGTTGAGAACTTGGTCTTGGGATAAAGCCACCAGTCTCCCAAAAGCGTCTTAAAACTTTCAAAACCCAGGACTGGCTTATGTGGAGCTGACGTGCGACAGCCCGGTGGCTGAGCCCTTCTTGCAACAGTGCAACGATTTGTGCTGCTTCTGTATGTGTAGAATCCCAGGTAAAGTGTCAAAAGAAGCCGAAATGTGTATGGATCAACGGGTGAACGCAAAAATCCGAATAGACGTGCTTTTATAGGGGGTAAATAGGCCGCAACTCGCGACGTATCAAACAGTTGGTACATGTCTTTTTTCTTACTTCTTCTCATCAGCCGGGATATCTTTTTAAATACTGGTGTGATTTTAATGAATTTGGTATCAATTTAAAGTTAAAAGTTTAATCTTTAAAATGGTGCTACTTTTTTTGTTACTAACAAATTCGTTAGTACACAAGATCGCGTGGAAACAACTTCATGTAAGTGATTCCATACTTTTGCTCGCGAGTGTAGTTGGACTTAAAACTGGTTTTAAAATTTTTTCTTTGTTCACAGCTGTCACGAATATAATTATCTAAATCACACACCGCGGTAATTGACTAAGTTTTGCGCTATACCTGTAGCTTATATTAACCTAACTATTCAAATAATATGATATAGAAAAAGTAATCGAATAGTAGCTAAACATCACTATTTAATTTTATTTCTTTTTAAGCAAAGCCGTAAAGTGTCACATCTTTATTTTAATTAAGCGATGATTTGGCTGTATAGCATAATGCCTTTGCCTTTTCCTGTAAAAGGAAAGAATCAAACCAAAAACATTACTTGGCGGGAAAGTAAAACGTAATGACATGATCAGTAGTTTTGTTGTTGTTTTCATTTATCTTTTATTAATAATGGTTTATTAACCACTAAAGTAAGTAATAGGTAAGTGTTTGTGAACGTGCATGGTGTAGGCAAATGAAAATTAAGGAACAGTGCAATAACACTCACTAATTTAGTTTATGTAAGTACCTGCTCAAATTCTCAAAGTTATACCTGAGGTACGTAACTTATTAAGTTAAGTTGTATAGGTATATTTTAATAAGTACTTACCTAAGTATATAAGTCTAAAATTCAAACGATTACTCCCATAAACTTGAAACAAAACATTTTATTAAGATGCAACTCCCACCCCCAGATGGCTGCCAACAAAACCGAAATTACATCGATCTGACTACGGATTAAGTACTTAATGATTGAAGAAACCCTTCACAAATGGTAAATCGTCCCAAAAGACAATCGGTATGTACCTAGATTTCTATAGATTTCGATTCCATGAATTCGCTTAAATTTAATTAATTTACTTAATTAAGCCGCTATACGTAACAATGTATTGTAACAAAGCGAAACTTTGAAGTTGAATCTTTAAAAAACTTATTGCAGGTACACTATTGCTAAATAAAGAGTTAATTCTTTCCGACACGTATTTAAAGTAAAACTAGCTTTTGCCCGCAGCTTCGCCCGCATGAAATTCAGTTTGCCAGAGATCCCTATAATAATAAATTATGTCATAACCTAGTTTTAAGTATAGTTAAAAATGTGTAACACTATAATATCATCAAAAATAGTGTTGCAATCGCAATCATGCATTGGTGCATGCAAATAATGTAAAGATTTTCAAAAAAGCTCTGAATTTTCAATATAATTACGGTAAAATTCAGTCCATTAGCCTTGCTCCCACGCATTATCTCAGCTCGTCATATTTGGGTGTACAACTCACGTGTTGGACGACATCCAAAATCATTGACGACACAAATTCTTTCGACCTACTTATCGCCACAATGATTTAAATAGAAATTAACAAACATGTCATTAGTACATTTTTATTGCAAGATTCTCTCCCCGACTGCGAAAAAGAGGACGCCTTGTAGTGTTCTATCTCTGATAGTTGATAAACAGTGGTTATTAAAGCCTTCGTATGCATATACCCTAAATAATACTTATCTTGGGTCTTAATTAGGGGACAGCTTATCTAGGGGAAATAGCTCGAAATAAAATAACTCAAATATTTACCTTATAAATTTATTTTCCATTTTAGAATATCCTAAATTTAATACATTGACGTATATTTTAAATTAATCATAACAATTTATTAGGTATTTATTTATTATGAATTCATATTCATATAAGTATGCGATACATAAATAAATTGTGCTTAAAATTACTTCGAATGAAATGCACTATCATGGACTGTTCCGCGCTTGTATGCACTGGAAACTATAATCTGTGTGATGATATGTGATAATATTATTATTTAGTCATATAATTTTGTATAAAGTACTATGTATGATATATTAAGGCAAGATGGCCACAGCTATATGGCTAACATGATTCTCAATGTTCCATTTATTAAGTACCTAATTTTAATCTACTTACAAATATAGTATTATTAATGTGTATATTTCAATATATCGGACCGGACCTGGTTTGCCTCAGTGCATCCAAGAAATACTTATAAAGGGTAGGTCCAGCCTGTAAATATTTAACAATTTCATTTCTCTTCCACATAATAAATAGTTATCAACATGTAGATTTACAAATATCAACAAAATAAATTACGAATAACAGCATATTACAATAAGATTAGCCTTAAAACTATCTTCAGTGTTACCTTATACTCTAGTGCCCCTAGCTTGTACTGTGTCGCCGATCGATCCAACCAGATGCTTTCAGAATCGCTGAGTCGATTCGACATTCAGATCTTAATGTAGCTTACTTTCAAAGATTTAGAACCTTCAGCCACGAGAGAAAAACTTAATAAAAATAGTATATCCGTAGTCAAGCTAATAAAATTGCTGTACGATAAATTTGGGATACAAAAATATATACAAAAAAAAAGAAATAAAAATGCATTCTACTTTTTACAGAGCATAATAAAATTTGTAAACAACGTGGGCACGTAATTACGACCAAATCGTGCAATTTCACCAGCTCACTTGTTACAGACGAACAAAAATACCTAATAACAAAACAATTTCAATACTGCATAAACAAATACTATTGTATTGAACTTTTTCTCATAATCACATGGGACGATCGGCGAACGCCTAAAATTCAATACATTAAAATTACATGGACTAGTAATTGAATTATTCTAACTAGTAAGTACCCTATACCGCTTTGGAGAACAAATCATAAGTAATATTACAAGGGCATACAGTACAAAAAATATTTTTTCCACTGAGATATGATTAAGTACGTTACTTATAATTAAATTTATATTAAAGTTAGCCCTTTATTGCTCTCCTTTCGACCTTACGCTAAACCGAGTCCCTTATAGGACATTGAGCAACATGGACATGTTAATTACAGACCTAGAGACCTAGACTTAGGGCAAGATGTCTCGCTTACCTTGGACTTATCAAAATACTAAAAAATCAATGATAGCTCATCAATCATTGCAATTGTCTCAACCAGTGGTAAAATTTGGGCTCATAAAAGTAAAACTCATGTGTTAAAAAATCTACAACCAACGTCAACTTTCTTAGTTGATTTTAGAGAGCTATTTTTGATAACCTTTTATAGACCCAAACGTTACATCTGGTACCGGAACATTCATAGTAACAAAGTACCAGCTTATACATTTCTACATCCTTTCAATCATAAAATTGACATTACATTCAAGCAAATCAGATGACCTTTAATAGTATTTATAATAAACGATAAAAATAGAAGCTACGTAAAATGGAAAATTGCTATAGGAAGAAGAATGGTAGGGCACGTCGTTAACAATAACAGTATAAAAAGCTGTCGGTGTACAAGCTTTTACAAACTTCAAAGGTTTTAGCTTATTTGCCTGTGTTAGCTGCCTATAATGTGCATCAATATCAAGTTTTAACAAGAAGGATATAATCTGAAATGATTCCTGAAAACACTGTAATCAATTCATGTAACTGTAAATTGTCCTTTTACAGAATTGAAGCTTTAGATAAAGTATTAATTATTCTTGATATATTTCTTTAGTGTATAATATAGTCAGCAATATGATAACTTTATTGTCATTTAACAGCTGTTACTTTAAGGTGCAAGCTTTGTATATTATTAGACAATATTCGATTTCAAGGAAATTTGTTTCTAACATTTAAAAATATATCTAGTTAACCTATTAGTAAAAAAATAGGAAAATATGTGTGATGTTGGGAAGTTTGATAATGAGGCAAGATTTTTCAATAGGTTTAAGCTTTTATAATACTCTAGAAAGTTAAATACACCATCTGTACGTATTTTGTAAGGTGATGCATCATGTTTCATCCTTAAGAAGATTGTTAGATTAAAGTGCCGAATTGGCGTTTAATTCTAAATAAAAGCTTAGAGCTTTGGTCATTTTTTAATATTTTTGGTTGATAGATTCAACTAGTTCTAGACATCATCTATGTTAGTCTAAGTATTTGGCTTCCTGCGGTAACGAATGTCACCATCTGTCCTCACATGACACATTTTATGAAGGTAGTTGAATAATCTTAACATTTCAGCCGCTCATCACTTCGTCTCATTAGGTGATATTACCACTCTTTTGCGAGGTTACATTAGAATTTTGGATTTTTAATAGTGGAAACGATCGTTCGAATATTGGAAAACTTGAACCATTTGAATTTGATGCGGAAATTATTCTATGTTTACATACGTTTCCACTTCTTTTTTTGTGTAATATGTAGAGCCTCAGTGGTAGGTATGCAGTTTTATTTTCAAGCTGAGATCTACTGCATCCTGGCCTCCTGCAGAGGTGGGGGGTAGGGCAGGGGTGGGAGGAGGGGTGCCTGAACTCCGCCTCCTTGCAGCGTGTAGTATGGAGACATGTATCCGGCTCCGCTGGCTGCGGCTGCTGCTGCTGTGGAGAAACAATAATTGCATTAAAAAGTGATCGTCATTATCATATCATAGTGTAGACACTGTTTATGTATAAGTCCACTATTGCATGCCGTGGCAACCTATAATTAAGGCAGCACTTATTTTAAGTTAAATACGTTGTAAATATTGATTGTCTTCCAGTGCATGTCTTGTTGGTTGTCCTAATAAATAAATAAAAAATAAAATCATTTTAACTTTTTGGAGTAGCGTCTAACTAGAACTAACATAATGTCCAAAGTTACTCCGATAGAGTTTCGATCCAAGTATGTACTATCGCCATCAGTGTTAACTGCCCATTGCCAGTCATGTCATCTCGTTCTATCGCAAAGAATCTCCATTTGATTAGAGCGAGAGCAAAAACAGAAATGGATAGTTAACAGTGTGGCCGTGTGTACAAGATCAACTGGCTTCCAAAAAGCTTTTCAAGGTAAGGGGCCTACTTATACGAGCACAACTTTCTGTGGTTCAGCAAAATATTTACACACAAATAGACAGGCAAGTGACTCATCTATTATCCCAAAAAGAATGCATAATGAAAAAGCCTTAATCCGGATTTAAATTCTACCAAAACCGTTTTCAACGTGACCAGAGGTTCACGCGTAATACCTTGATTGGCTTTATCTAATCGCTTTGTGCTCTCTGTGTATGTGTACTACTAATTAGTAAAAATAATAACGATGTATTTATAATATAACTAAAGACTTTTCATTTTCTGCGAATCTATATTGACTCTTTATTAGTTTTATTGTTAAAGTAACAATAGGTACCTATAGTTTAATGTACTAATGTCTTTGGCAGTAGGTAATCAATNAATAAACTGAATTTTACTTAGGTATTCATATTGTTGGAATCTAGGAATAAAATTTACATGTTGTTTTCACAAGTGCTTATAGTTGTGTAAACATTTGTATCGGCCATATCGGCATATCTACAATTTGTTAGTGCATGCCTTATTCGCAATCTATATTTTCAATTTAGTTTCAGTGCGCAGTTGCCATGTAGATTATTTTGTATTTCATACGCTGCCATTTACAGTGGTCAGATTGTAATGCATTATTTTTATACATTGCACATGTATGCAATGTTTAATTTTAATCTATGAATCCGACTGACATTTATTGTATTGGTTTTATTTTCGTTAACTTAGTAAGATGAAGACGTAACTATTACCACAATTATTGAGCGTAATTACTTTAATTACTCACAAATGTTAGACTTAAATGTTAGACTACTTACTCACTTAGATTCTGTTCACCACATTACGAGTTATAGTAAAGTCAAAATAAGAAGCCATGTCTAGCCACGTTTCTTCGGCTTTAGTTACGCACCTGCAGCTGTAGCGTACGGGTCGAAACCTGCCGCGGCGTACTGCTGCTGATACGCCTGCGCCTGCGTCGCCGCCTGGTACTCGTAGAGGTGGTTGGCAGCAGCTACGGCCGCCGCGTGCTGAAGCTGCGGCAGCTGCACCAGCCCGCCGGCGCCGGCGCCCACGCCTGCGCTCACGCCACCCACGGCGCTCATATACCCTGGCGCGCCGTACACGTACCCAGGGGACAACCTGCCAACACACGCTGGTCAGAACGAGCAGGGAACTAAGGCGACAGACGTTACGAAATTGTGAACTCATGTGTTCGTTTGTGCTATCTTTTAGAAGGAAACGGAAGTTTATGCATACATGGACTCAAGTCATGTAAGCAGCAGTATTAGTATCCACATAAGAATCAGACAATTCCGAAGCGTCTGTCAGCCGTGACCCCATGATGCCCTTTCACAGAAAAAGATTTTGATTGATTTTTCAGACCGATGTTTCAGTGAAAGGTCATCGATGTTGGAAATTAATCGTCAAAACTGTCATCACACTATTACCTAGCCCCACTTCAGCCTCGACAGCCACGAGCATCTAGTCTTGTTAGGTTAGTAGACATCGATACACAGTTATATGTAAGTATACGGTTCATGTTCGCCTGGATGTCGCCTGAACCGCCGCCGTGCGTCATTGCCAAGAGTTAAAAAAACACATTTAAAAAAATATTGAGAGCAGAAGCGTCCACTTCGTCTCGACCGAAATATCCGGCATCTCGGGTTTATCTCTAGATCGTTGGGGAAACGTCGCAAGAATTAAGATTTAGATGCCGCCGCGTGTCAGTTACGAAATCCGAAAGCATTTTGGGTTCGAGGGAAGCAAATGGAATTTAGGCGTGTCGAAATCGTTAATCTATTAAAACATTCAATAAGATTGAATTTATCAGAACCAGAAATCTTCATTTCACAACGAACTATCAGAATTACTCGTAATTAAGAAAGAAAAGATCCGGAAAATGTGTTGAATCCGCAAATTCGTGGTACACACGAAGGCGGTCAAGTACACTTTGAGAGACGACGACGCCGGGCGTCGCGCCGCGTCAGCACTTTTCAAGTGCTCTCTTCCGTCAACCACTTTATTACCGAACCACTTTTGGGATGCAACTATACTTGTCTCTTTTTGACTGAGTAAAGCAGATAGGGATGTGCGGTTTGTCATTCGAAGATCAAGTTCGATTGGTTTAGAATTTGTGAGAGAGTGCGAAGGACGCATGCGCGACATACGCCCGCCGCAGCGCTCCGCCCGCCCAGCACGCCCACCTGTGGTTTACTGGTTCTTTTCGCAAATACCTACTAGCTCAATTCCTCCCCATATGTGAACGTGTTTTGCGAAGCATTTTAAGTGTTTAAGCAGTGTGAGTTGTCATTTCAAGTTCTCTACTCTTCCCTCCACACGACGAGGTGGACGAACTCATAGATTATGTATCACTAAGCTGACAGGATGATTAATGCCGTGTGTTTTTGTTTTTCCAGTGAAAGTGTACTCCGCATTTTTTTCTTTTAGTGTAATATAAGTAAAAAACAAGAATAGTAAATCCAAACAGCATTAAGTATATAAAACTGGCAGATCATCACACAAGCTGAGCTTAAACATCTACATAGGTACAAAACCACAATCAGATACTAATTAAATACTTTAAAGGGAAAGGCATACATATTTTATCTTTGTTAAAGGAAATACAGAAAAAAATACTTAGAAAGAAGTTGAATAGTTGATTCAAAATGGCTAAAATGAAGTCAATAAAATACTAAAAATACGGAACTAATTTACTCAAAAGTTATTATAAAAGTAAGAAAATTCTATATACACGAGACTTGCACGATGTAAGTGATTAATAGATACGTACTAAAAGTATTGTTCTATAGGCAAGCCCACTAATGACATCGTGGCTAGGTTTGCTTCGTTTTTTAAAATTAAAACAAAGAGCGAGAAGCTTTCATTTGATTATTTTTCCATTAGAGCATGAGTTCCGTTGAATAATATATGAGCGGCTATGGTGGTTCGGCGGGCGTGGCTGGTGGCCCTGGGCGCGCATCGATCGCCGGTAATTACCAAGCGGTGCAGCCGCGGCGACGCGGCGGCCAACGGGCGCAACGCAGCGCGACGCAGCGCATCGCGCCGCACGGCAGCGGGTCGGGCTGCGCACTTCTACGCACACACAGCGCCGCGCGACCCGCGCAGCCGCCGCCCGCCGACCCCGCTCGCACGTTAAGTACTTAGTAAGTGTATTAAACGAAATCCACCACCAACAAAACTCAAATCAACAAAATCTTACACGAACACGGCATAAAACATAAAAGAAAAACATTGAGTGTCGACAACGATGCGAGTGCCGCTGGGCGGCGCGGGCGCCCGAGTCGCCGGCGCCGCCCAGCGTGGGCCTTAGCTTGGAAAACGTAACATTAAAAAACCCAATCGACTAATTCACACCCAAAACGAAAAAAATCCACTCTCACGCTCACGCTTGCCATAGATACCTATGTGAAAATGTTTGATAATTTAGTCTAGGTGTGGTCCGCTGGCTGCCGCGTCGCTAGCCTCCGGGACGCCGCTCGCATCATCTACCGAGACAAAAGTCAGCTCAAAAACCGTACCCGACTCGTTTACGTCACCTAAATGCATAATTAATTATGTATTCAATACACCTAGAACTATGCATGGATTAAAGTATGACCAGGGAATATTTACAGCTAATATTGGACTCTACAAAACTTCTGAAACTTCTGATAGGACATTAACTGTGTGTATAAAGAAGGTGGAAGCTAACTCAGATATCAGTGTAACTTAAGCGTGAGTGGAGACACTTATAGAAAGGTGCCCTAAATTATGCCTGAAAGTTGCACGTCTGATTTTTGTCTCGTGAGATGTAGGTAGTCACAGCGGCATGCGGCACCGCTAGTGCTGGCAAATATCGAAGTGTTGAACCATTGAACATTTATCAGAGGTGTCGATTAGCTAAGGCGGGACTCACCCGTACGGGGAAGGCAGCACGGTCGGGTACCCTGCACGTACTCCCGCTGCCGCGGCCGCGAGCCCGAAACCTGAAACAGAAACACCTATTTATAACACTCATTTTACAGTCCCAAACGATCTTGACAACTAAAGGATTTCCTTTCGAAAAAATACCAATAACTTTTTCATCAACCATGTCGAACTATTTTCAGCCTCACTTAACGGAAGCGAATAGAGTTGACTGAAAAATGTACACCACAAGAAGATTGGACCACTTCCAAATGACACGAGAGTCAACTTAGCGCAAGCAACGTCAAAGTGTTAATTTCTTTTTATTGCATTGTTAAGTCGCTCGAGGCGCTTCTATTTCGGTCGCTCGGCCGCCCGGGCATCGGCATCCAGGGATGTACCTCTTGACAAGAAGACGACAAACTCGCGCTATAAATGGCTTTCGGCTAAGTCGTTGGCACGAGCGCAGACCTAACTATGCGACGATGCCTCGATGATTGACAGGGAAGGCATCTGACAACATTTCCTGAGTGCTGCAGCTTGGGAATTAGGCGTGAATGTCACAGCTGGTTGAGTGCTTGGGAACGCGAATATCATATTGCGTTTGGGATGTGTGCAATCACAATGATGGGTTGTGTTCGAAACATAGATGGTTGATTATCGTCTAATGGCCAAAAGAGCGTGACCTCTGGCGGGCCGTGTTGCCATTGTGTGGTGAAATTTCACCGGTGATTACTGCGGATCACATCCGCAGAGTCCGGATGATGTCGCGGTCCGGCTGCCACGATAATGTCGCGTTGACCTTCTACGAGGCTGATTACAGTACCACCACCATACTGCCAATTATTAAACTATGATATTTAATTGAACAGGTAGGCGATCATAACAGATTAAAAGACCAATATTATTGCTAGCCAGACTTAATGGGAATCTAACAATATATTTTCTTTCAGAAGGCGACTAGTGATAAAAAGGCTGATACGCACGAATCCCCAAAAGAGTAATTCCAGTATTTGTAAAGGCAAACGTTTCCATTTTTTATTCCGACAGACTAATTCCCTTGTAAAATCATAGACAGTCGCGTGCCACGGACAGAGCGTGATGTGCCACACCCGATCGATGTGCATTTGACGGCCGAGGTCGGACTACTGTCCACCACCGCTTATCTAGATTCATTAAACTTTTTCCCTCTGGCCTTTTATTTCCACTGCTGCATGCCCCAGCTATGGTCTTTTGTTACACATGTGACCCAGATAGATTTTAGTCGTAATCGATTGTCAACCGGTACACAATAGGTCAAACATTCGTATAATCAACTGTACAATTTAGAATACATAGTTGTATTATAACTTGTTTTTCCCTTTAAGTTGTGATCGCTGAAATAAAACGTTTACCAAATGAATATAAAACTCACAGTTTTACAAAAGAAATTATAATTATTTAAGTAACTCTATCTAGTCAAAAAGCGTATTAGGTATCAGGTACTTAAGTAGGTAATTAATCCCGAGAACATTCTCAATTCATAAGGGATGCAGTTGAGTAGGTAGTTACCTACTTGCAAGCTTGCATCAAGTAGTTTTCATGTGCAAATCACAATGATATGGCGATATTTCGGAAAAACAAACAACATAACTCATCATCGAATTTCCAAGCCAGATTCATCGTGCATGATCCGATCGGGCTGGAAGAACGAAGTAAATGCTGAAGATATTATAGCTTTGTTTTGAATACTTTTGCGGGCATTTCATACGAGTTCAGGATTTCGGGTCGTCGAACTGCGAAGCCGACACTGAGTGCTTAACGTCGCTTGTAAGGATTCTACGGAAATACGATTTTAGACGCAGGCGCGCCGAGCGGGACAGAACGCTTTTATACAGGGTGTATTCAGAAACAGGTTGGCTAAAACTTTGACATTGACCTACTACCTATCGCGAATTACTGTATTTGATATAAAACCTGAAAGTTTATTAATATCAAATTAAACTTTGATCATCAATGTAGTAATATAATATAAGTAGGTAGGTACTGTTGTAAGCGACAAGCACTGCTTATTTCACGATTTTAGCCGATATATTAAACTTTGAATACCAAATTCAGTCTAGGCAAACTATGACTGAAATCAGAAAATGTGGGAAAATTTAAAATTTTCCGTAAAGAAATTTCCTACTTTGTAACTTAAGTAGCCTTTTGTGACTTTACTGTTAAAGTATATTTACCACTCTACCTATATCGCCTCCCTCCCTGTATATATTGTATCAAATCAAGTTAGGTTGAACCTGACGCGTGAATTTTCAATGCCACATCTATTTTACTGGCAAGCACTACATTTCATTCTAATCCCCACATAATACATCACAAAACACATAAAGTCGTCAAACACGAAACAACCGGAGCGTTGCCCATTCAATTTACGAGTTCCGAATTGACGTAAACGCAACGCCAAATCTCACTACGAAAGGAAATTGTTGTAATTTATTTACAATGCTTTGTGATTACATTGTATGGTACCATATGTCGTGTAAGTTTACTGGCTCAAGAATAGAATCAGATGAGTCGTGGCCCAGTTTCGGACAAGTTAGCCGGCCTCAGGGCCGTGTCCGGTGGCCTTCCTTTGATCTGACCGGTGTCGCTGACGCGGCAGGCATCAATCCCACAGGCGCGATTTATCGCCAACCAGCCTCCGTTTACAAAACGATTAATTACTCCCCACTTTCAGACAGTTCCTGGGACAATTATTTTTGGAGAAAACACGTGCTCGACGTGAACCAGCGCGCCGAATTTACATATAAAAAGCTGTGGCGAAACGGTGCAATCTTTACGTCCCATTTAATACGTAGTTAATGTTAAATGTTTGATGTGGATCTGTAACGCATATTAGTTGGAGTATTGCGAATTAAACCTGCATACAAATGCGCAGTCTATAGTACAATATGGGCGCTTTTAGTGAGCTCCGACAAAAGATAAGCGAGCGAGAAAAGATGAGATTTTGGCACCTCGCCAGCGCTGGTGTCGCGGCAGAGGCGGCCGCGACGACGTTCCCAAAACTGCGTATATTTAGACAAAATAAAGAGCGCGCCGAAGACAAAACGAGACGCAACTCTGTTTTATAAATAACCACGTCGTTCGCCGGACGGACTCAGCCTCGCTCGGCCAGCCTCTGCTCGCCAGCTGTTGTACATAAATAATAATTAAGATACGAAGAAAGTTTACTTCGTCCAAATTTAAAGGTACTCGAATCGTGCTTTATTTCCATTTCTGTCAATACGGCACGCGCAAGTATTGCAGGAAGAAAAAAATTGCTTGCGAATAATTTGACTAGATCTTCTCATCTCACCATTAGGTAGCTATATGTTTTCTATAAACGTTTGCTAACGTAAAGTAGACTATGGTTTAGTTAGAAGGTAACGTTTCATAGCATTACGTGGTAGCTCGAGGATTATGGAGGAGCAGGGCTTCGCACGGAAGTGGCGACGCGAGGGATCGCGTTACGGCGACAAAGGGAGCGGAACTAGCTACTACACTGAAGTGTTCCTGCGCGCGGCGGCTTCGGAGCTCTAGGATCAAATTCTCTAATCAAACAGTAATCTACCCTAATAGGATTGCGGTCGACTCACACTTGTATAGTTGCAAGGAAAAACAGATTTAACGCTAGGGTACCATCAAAAACTTTTAAGTATATTTATGCCATCTAAAAACGTACAGCATTGAGCAATGCAAATGTTTTTACTGGGTTTTGTGGCTGATGTTTTAACAAATACCCCACGGCTATAGTTTTAGAATCAAAAAATGCTGGTTTGATATTTGTATAATGATGTACAATGCAATGTTTACTTAGATGACATTATAGTCGTAGCAATTCATTTGTATTTAAAATTGAATGTTTTTACAGTAAATATGCGGGACTTGGTTAATATTTATTATCATGTGCTTTATCGGGATGGCAAAGTGGACTAGAATTTGGGACACATGCCATATATCCTCGCGATACGGAAGACACTATTATTTTCTTGGAACGGGTTCAACATTTTTGAGGTCATTAGTGTAACGACGTTGATTAATTAATTCAGGTAGTAGCTCGAAGCTGTAACACGTGTTTTATTGCTGTTTTTAAATGAGTGAAATCATAAAATAATTTGAACTTCATTTGTAGTTATTGTAAGTAAATTTAATGTAAGAATGATGGGAGTTTTTACCTTCGCAAAATCATTTATTTATTTCAAAATCAAGTCTAATTTCCAATTCTAATAAACAAATCGGATTCAAACAGCGTTGGTATTTGTAACAATTGCCTGTTCCAGTGCCTGGTAATAGAATAAAGATATATCGCTAAGTTTGATAAGATCGAGGCCGCGGTTCGCGCTGCAAACCCACCATTATGGCTTCGTTCATACAATTACATACAATGCGCAGCGCTATCGATCAGACGTACTTTTATCGCCAATACGATTTGAACACGAATTTTAATTAAAACTTTGCCACACTAACACACATTTTATGCTTTAATTACCATTTTTTTCCACAGAAATGCAATATCACATTTCCATCTACAATTTTGTATAACATTGATATGAAAATATGAAAATTAAAATTGATTTATCAAAGTCTAACTAAACTATCTAGGTATAACAACGTTTTTAAAACTCTAAATCATTGTTTACATAATTAATGTTTATTCTAATCAATCTTAAGTTTCACATTACGATACTCTTCATACAAAGAAATGACTAAAACGAGGAATACAATCACATTCAATCTGATTCTATTAATAGTCATTGTTGAAAAATCCCATCGATCTAACGCCATCAAAGCTAATATTTGCGATAACAATGGACTCGTTTACAAAACTGACAAAGCTAATGCACTTTTCCCAAAACAAAATGATGCCGAATCTACTTACTTTGATCTCATAACGGATAGTACATAGTACAACAAACTTCATGAGAATGGAGAATTGCATTAATGTTAGCACTATCATTTCAGTTTAAATCAGAAATAAATAAATACTTATTCATGTTAACTATTTCACCGCGGTGGGACTCACATTTTGCAAACAAATCGCAAAGAAGATCTCACAAACAAA